TAGCTCCAAATCATGTACTTTTCCTAAAAATTCAATTGAATATGTATAGATTACTAATTTAGTAACTTATAAGAATTAGAATCCCAAAACCATAAGCTTCAAATCATAGCTCCGCCTCTGTTCTCCTTTTCATAAATTAATTAGTTCATGTCCATTTAGCGAACTTTACCTTACCAATTTCAGTGGATGTTCCATGAAAATTCAAAGACAATCCATGAACAATGAAAAACGTAAGCTACTCATAACTTTATGCTTTTTAACTTTCCCAGCATATGGAAGAAGAAAATCAGATAGATATTATTGCCCTTTCTCAAAACTCCACAATGTGCTGCAACATTTCTTTAAGCGCTAATTGATACGTACGGAAGAACAACAGAAAAGTATAAAAAAAAAAAAAGATATTCCTAATTATCTTACATGTAGTACATACGTAGGTCGATTGATGGATAAAAGAAGCTCAGTAGGTGCTATAATGGGGACCAAATTAAAAGTAATGAAAACAAATAGATCGATTTAAAAAGAAAGGAGCGGAGAATAATTACCAGATGATAAATGGAGAGAAGGGCTTTTGGATATAAGCAGCGAATTCGAAAAAGTTGTCATCCTCTGAGTGTATGAGAGTTCCCGAACAAAGAAGTGAAGAAGCGACGGCCGAGAAGAAAATAGAAAAGTAGAGAGAGTGAGGTGATATAATTGTTTTTCCTTCGATGAGAATGGTGCTGGCTAACATGGTTAACCACCGACGACTCGTGGATATTCGCGTCAGTACCAATGAAATAAAATTTAGGGGCGAGTTTGAATCTCTGTTTTAAAAGGTAGAATTGGGACTCGCCCCGGAGCGGAGCACTCGTAAAATGCCCCTGGGCTTATGTGTAGGGTTTACTTCCGTGGATACGCCCAACGCCGAGCGTACTGGGCTCGCCTAATAGAACTTTATGCAATTATATGTAATAAATTATTGACTATCCAAAATTACTTTTTTCTTAATCATAAATCATTAAGTTGACTCTATTTTGTCATAATTAAGATAAAAATTATTGCACGTTATCCACTAAGACTGCTATGATAGCTAATTTTAAATAAATCTTTTATTAAAAAGTATTTATATATTAACTTTTGTTTATCTTTACTATATAATAGTCCGTAATTTTTTCATAATTATTTTTTTCACGTTTACAAGATACAATACTTATTAATTTAATAGCTCAGTATTAGCTAGTAACTATTTATAAATAATTAGTTATCATGGTATTGTATGGTGAACTATGTGTCACTTTATTAACTTGTTCAAACTTAAAAATAAATGATGCTAGAGAATCATATTTAAATTGTGAATTATATTTTTATATAAATGCTCTTTCAAATAGAAAACATATTAAATAAAAGGAGTATTTTAAGAGAAATATCAAATTGTAATATCGAAATTCTTTCAAGATTTATTACTCCTTGAGAGATACATATAAGATTTTGTATCAAATACATTGCTTTTGATGTTTGAGTTGTAACGACGGTGCAGCTAATTTGCGATATATGTCATAATTTTCACATTATTCATAGTTGAATTATGAATTATAAATATTTTAAATAGATTATTTATTATAAGTTTATGATTTTAATGTAATTTTTATAATTATTTTTTATTTTATACTATCTTAAAATTTTTGAAATTAGTTAAATTTAAAGATCCATGGGACTTACGCCCCATGTCTCAGGACTTACGCCTCGCTTCGTCAGAGGTAAAACGCCTCGCCTCACGCCCCCGCCTTTTAAAACATTGGTTTGAATGAAAAAGAAAAAAACTGAACCTCGAGACAAAAACTAAAAACTTGAAGTTTGACTTGAAAAAAAAAATGAGCTTAAGTACACAATGTTTTAAATTGAAAAAACTGATCTTAGGAATACAAAAGTCCTGAAGTTTAAACAGAAAAAATTGAAATTATGAATGTATTATTATGAAGTTTTGAACTGAAAAATTATACTTTGCGATTAAAAAATTGAATATCGTGATATGTTATCTTAAAGTTTGAGCAAGTGTAAAAGAAGAAGCAACAATATCTGCCCGCTTTTTAAATATAGCTAGATATTAAATAGTAGTTTTTAAATCATGGATAAAGCCTAAACAGTTGCTGTAAAAGTAGCTACATAGTTTGATTTCTACATGGGGTGCAGTGCACCAGTAATCACTTCTAAGTATGTTGATTAAAATATATTCATAATTTACGATATATTTAAAAATAATTAATTCATCCAAATTTGAGAACTAAGTATTCTGAATTTTTGAACTGCTAATTTGAAATTCGGAACTTATTATCCTTAATTTTTTAACTGATAATTTGAAATTCAAAACTAAGTGTCCTGAATTTTTAAATTGCTAATTTAAACTTAAGATGTAAGATTCGAATTGTTGGGTACAATTTTTAAACTTTAGTATACGATGTCCTGCAGTTTGAACTTTGAAGTTTAAACTTTAGGATGATGTGTCCTGAAGTTTAAGCGAACTGGCTAATCTTTAAATATATTGTGAACTGTGAATATATTTTAAACAACATGCTTAAAAGTGATTACCTCGTTTAATTTCCACCAAATTTAAGGAATGAACCCAAGTCATACCTATAATTGTTTGTGGGGCGAGTGCATCGAATGGCCATTATTTAGGCTGCTATTTAAGTTTCAATCAGAGTTTGCAATATTTAGAGTTTGGCCAGTCACATAGAAAAGGAGCAACTTGCTTCTCTTATTCTCATTATTTAGGGTGAAATTTAAAAATAGTCAGATTTATAACCGGTCGTTCAAAAATAAGCCAGTTTCAAAAGTAATCGAAATTTAGTCACTTTTCATGTAAAGATAAATCTGAGCGAAAACACTGTTCAAAATCCCGGAAAATACGCCAGTATATTATGCTGGAGTTCCAGCATAAGTATACTTGAACTCCAGCATATTATACTGGAGTTCCAGGATAGTATGCTGGAACTCCAGCATAATATGATGGAGTTCCAGCATAAGTACACTAGAACTCCAGCATAATATACTGGAGTTCCAGCAAGTATACCGGTCCAGCATAATATACTGAAGTTTGGAGCACCGGTGCTCCAGTCTCCAGTATATTATACTGGAGCCAGCAAAGTATATCGGTGCAGCATAATATGCTGGAGTTCAGACACAGGTGCACCGAACTCCAGTATAGTATGCTGGACCGGTCTCTGTTGCAGCAAAATAGTGGCTATTTTTCATTGACTTAGTAAACGCTGGCTATTTTTGAATGATCAGTACGAAAACTGGCTATACCGTGCTATTTTGACCATTATTTAAGCTGCTATTTAAGTTTCAACCAGAGTTTGCAAATTATCTAGAGCTTAGTTAGTCACATAAAAAATAAAAATAAAAAATAAATAAATGAAAAAAACAGCTTGCTTCTATTATTTTCCTTCCCGCTTCTTCTGTTGCTCCTCTTTTTTATGTCTTCTTCTTTAATGTCCCTTAATTCTTTTTCCACTACACATAACATTTTCTACCAAAGAACTTGTTCACTTTGACTAGCGATTCAAAAATTAACACAAAACTATCCATATACGCATTTAACATTGAAAGTTCTTGCTATCTTTCTTGTCGCAGAGACTCAAAACTCATTCGAACTCCTCATCTTTCAATCACAACGAAAGCTTGAAAATTTTGGGTTAATTATTCTACAGAATAAATATATACAAGGTTGATTAGACCAACCATGTTGTACGGAGTTGAATGTTGGCCCGTCAAGAAGTCTCATGTCCAGAAGATGAGCGTAGCTGAAATGAGGATGCTGAAATGGATGTGTGAACATGACAGGAAAGACAAGATTCGGAATGAAGTTATTAGGGACAATGTGGGAGTAGCAGTCATGCAAGACAGGAATCGAGGTTGCGATGGTTAGGCATATGAGGATGAGAGACATGGATACCCCGGTCAGGAGGTGTGAGAGGTGGACGATGGCGGGCTTGAGGAAGGGCAGGGGTAAGCCAAAGAAGTATTTGGGAGAGGTGATTAGGCATGATATGTCAGTGCTTCGCCTAACCGAGGACATGACTAGCGATAGGAAGATGGGGAGGTCGACGATTAAGGTGGTGGGTTGACTGGTAGTTGTGAGTTTCTCCTAGGGTTACCAGTAGTACTAGAAATATTCTTGTTTCCGGTTGAAAGATACTTTCTTCTTGTTTGTTATTATATCTGGAACTTAGCAGTCAAGTTCATTTTTTTGTAAATTGCTACTGAAAATTGTTGCTCTTTGATTGTTAATATTTGATGTTACTTTTTCCTCTTGACTTCTACTTTTTTCTCGACATTTACTAGAATTGTTTCTCCTGATTGATACTATTTGAGGCTACTATTTTTCCCCATTTTTTCTTATCGTTATTTGTCTCCTCCTTCGTTCCCTCTTACCCCCCCCCCCCCCTTACCCCTATTTTTTTTTTTTTCTTTCTCTCCACATCAGAAACAACCTCTCTACCTCTCCAAGTAGGGATAAGGTCTGCGTACACATTACCCTCTCCAGACCCCACATATGTGATTATACTGAATATGTTATTATTGTTATTGTTGTTGATTTGAACTACATAGTTCAAACTTATGACACAATATCCTGAAAATTTGAACCTAAAAGTTGAACTCCATGACATATTGTCAGTGAAGTTCAAACTTGGAAAACGAAATTTAAAGACACAATGAATTGAAAAGCTAGAATTCAAGATACATATTTCATAAAAAATTGAACTAAAAATTTGAACTTTAGGATACTCATAGTGTCTGAACTAAAATATAAAACTTTAGAATATTGTTATTGTTGTTGAATTTCAGGATACGATGAAGAAGCAACATCAGCCAACTTATTTAAGTTGTGGCTAAACGCTAAATAATTTGCACGTGTTGAATAAAAGTTAAACAACAGTCCAATAAGTGGCTACCGAGTGACATTTCTACATTGTTTGCGGCTTTTGGGTCCTTCAATACTATGGGCCAGAACATATTGTAGATCCAGTTAAGAGCCCACAATGGAAAGATCAACCATCGGCCAGTATCTCTTCCTTTAGCTCTCCAACTCCATTGGACGGCCAGAGAAGGCGTTTGGCATCTTTGCTTGGTATAATCTTTGTACTATTTACTGATTTTTTGGGTAGAATTCCTAGAGATGAGCCCTAATTTTTGTTTTGCAGACAGAACGAGCTAAGCGTAACTCAAGAGAAAAGTTAGGTGAAAAAATGGCAGCTTCAATTTGGACTCTACAACTTCATACAGTCTCAGTTCCGGTACCCAATCAACCTCACATTTATTCTCTTTCTAGTTAATAAATATCTTTATCATTTTCTAATATGAATTAATTTACATTCCTTTTATTTCAAAAGCTTCGAATTCCACCTAAGGCAGTTGACTTCAGAACCGATGATTTGTTCAATTATGCATTCCGAAGGTGTACAAGGAAGAGGACTTTCAAAAACATTGACGTAGTTGCCTCGGGGGATTCGTTTACCAATGGTGATGGCAAGAATGCTAAGAATCTTTCAGACCAAGTTATGGTTGTCAAGTCCGAGAAGCGGAGTTTACCTGTTCTACTACAAGACACTGTTACCAAATTACAAGAGAGCGTCAAATCTCTCCCTCCCCCTACTCTCCTGGTAATTCCGCTTAAGATATCTTTTTTACGGGTAATATATGAATTTCTGATGATATTTATTTTTGGAAATTAACTAGGGAAAAGTATCTTAGGATAGACCTGGAACTTGTGGAATGTGGAGTGCCTGAATATTCATATCCTTTAAAGTGCTGAACTTTTCATATTTAACGTTGCTTGGCAATTGAGTTTTTTTGTTATGACGTAGACTATTTCTTTGGATGGACACTCGACCACTTTGTTCCTTGCGATTTTATGGAATGTGATAATATTCTTTGTTTCCTGTTCTTTGTCGAGCTATCAACTCGTTTGCATTCATCTTACTGTGATGGTGCAGTTTCTCCTTTCTATAATTATGATTTGATGTTTACTTCCAGTGCAACGTTATTTTTTATTGTTGGGTAAATTCACGATTGAAAGCAGCTTAGGCCTTGTATTCACTGCAATTTAGTCTTCTTGGCATTTTTCCTTTAACACACATGTTTTAATAGCAGGTAAAGAAACATTCTGGTGTTAGTTTAGCAATTGGATTATCTACCGTGGTCATCTTGCTGGTTATTATGATGAGGAGTTATGTTGCAAAAAGTTCACGACCCAAACGCCCTGGTTCTGTAGCTGATCTTGTCAGGCGTGGGCAGTTAAGATCTGATAGAAGAGGCATGTATGGATCATTAACCTTTTGGATTGTTGTTTGTCTATGATGTTTTTCTTCTGCTGTTAAATTCATCCCTTTTTAGGATGTAGATCTTAGTCATATGATCATATGCTGCTGAGATGATGTGCTTGCATAGTTTTTAAGTGTTGTAATGCTTGTTTTTCATCATTGATTTGTCTTAAAATTCAGATCAAATCCTCTCAAATATGACGATCCATTCAATAATCCATTAGTGAAAATCAGCAAAAACAATTCAAGTGTAGAGATGTGTGGGAAAGTGTACCGTTTGGCACCAGTAACTCTTACCAAGGAGCAACAAGCTGTCCATCAGAAACGGAGATCACGTGCATATCAGTGGAAGAGACCAACATTGTTTCTTAAAGAAGGTGATTCAGTGCCTCCTGATGTGGATCCTGATTCTATCAGGTGGATTCCTGCAAATCATCCTTTTGCAACTACTGCAAGTGAAATTGATGAGGATCTGGCACAAACTAATGTTTACCAGAAGCACGGTGTTCCTTTCCGTATTCAGGCAGAACATGAAGCTCTGCAGAGAAAGCTCGAAGCACTTCAAAGTGTAAGCAATCATAGCCCCTAATATTAGCTTTTAGATGTGGTAAAGAAAAGAAAATATCACTTAGGGTGTGTTTATGTTTGGTTGTCTTAAATGTTTTTGGCAAACATTTTCCTCATGAACTCATTTTCATCCCATTAGAGGAAAATATTTTCTCTATCAAAACAAGGGAAAACAGTTTTCAAAACTCTTTTTCAACCTTCTCCACCCTATTCCCCGTTCCCACCAACCCCCACCACCCCACCCCCATGCACCCGCACCCCCAAACCACACTTACCCGCACCCCCACCACACCCCACCCACCCCAACCTCGCCCACAACCCACCCTAAATAGAACTTTTATTAAAAGTACCTTCTTTTCATGTTGTAGATAGAGTACTTTTTTTTTAATCTCAAAATGAGTGTATTCTATTCATGATGTGGTAAAAAGTATTTTCTTTCTTTCAACAAAACGAGTATTTTTTTTTCATGATGTAGGAAAAATATATTCTTTCATTTCAATAACTAAGTATTTTCTTTTCCTGAAATAGAAAAAGTATTTTTTTTCAACAAAATGAGTACTTTCTTTCTAAGTTGCTCTGACACGGGGGAGGAGGAGTACAGGAAACATGGGGATTTTGGGGAAGGTGGGTTGAAGAGAGTAGCATAAAAAATTATTTTTCTAAAAATATGTTATACTCTAGCCAAACGCTAGAAAATATTTTTCGAAAAAAGTTTTTCACTCACCAACCAAACAAGGGAAAATAAGTGATAAATTCACATTTTCTAGGAAAATATTTTCCATAGAAAACATTTTCCTTCATACCAAACACACCCTTAGACTTCCTGGTTTCACAAGTATGTTGGATTCATTTTCATAATCAGCATCTGCCATTATGTTATTCTATTATCACTTGTCCAATTGCAGTATCGATACCCAACTCTAATGGACTGTACCTTCATGCAAATATAGTTTGATTTGTAGATAAACTGCAAGATTCTACAGGTTTCTTGCTTTAAAAATCTTACTGGAAGTTAAATAATGGAGTGACTTCTTTTTCTTTTTATTTGTAAGTAATAAACTGCTTTCTGGCCAGTGAAATAATGGACATGTTGATGCTATGTTCTAAGCTTGTAGTAGGAAGGGAAAGAAATAGACAGGACAGGACTGCCAACCTCAGTCTGCTGTAGATTAAAAAGATATAAGTTGAAGATTTGCATGCACATTTAGAATTTCCCTAAATATTGTAGGTATAGAATCCGGGGACGGGGAGCCTTGGCACAACGGTCAAATGTTCAAGCCGCGTAAACTGTCTCTTGCATTTCCTCGGACCCCGCGCTTAGCAGGAGCTTAGTGCATGTAGCTGCCCTTTATTGTACATATACATAGACAGAACTGCCAAGCTTTTGTAGATAGAAAGAGATGTAAGTTGCAGACTTGCTTGCACATTTAGAATTTCTCTAAACACTCTGGGTATACAAAGTTGAAGTAGCGCAATGAAACACCACATTGTGCTTCATCGTTTATATATATATTTTGGTATGGTGACTCAACCTCATAGTGCTTTGAGGGTTATTTGAAGCATTTGATTTTCTGTGTACACACACACATGAAGTGTGAATTTTTCCATACATCGATATACTTGTGCGTAGCCTTAAATAGTGAGCACAATAAAATTTTAAACCAGGAGCAGTAAAAACAAATTGAAAAAAGTTACTGCTCTTGGAACACTAAATGAATCGTCAGTCAGTTCTAATTAGTATGGCAAAGTAATTCTTTGGCAATTTATTTTTAGCAATTAAAGAAAGAATGTTTCTGTTGTGTTACAAAAATGGTATAGGTAACACAAAACTAGCAAAGACTCCTGCGGAGTAGGATTCTACTGTTAATGCTTGCAAGAGCCAAGAAGGTAGTAAAGCACAGTTGTAGTCCACCTTAGGATACTACTGCATTTCTTTTACATTAGAAATCTGACAGCTGAAGAATATTATTTGCTGCTTTTTTCCCTTTTTCACTTCTCTCTTTTTGGGACTGAAGAAATAAGCTATAGGAAGAACCAAAATGTTTGGGATGAGAGCAATGTCTTTCACCTCTTGTTTACAGCAGAACAAGATGCTCTATTTACAGCAGAAAGTACAGCCTCCTTTTCAGACCCCCTTTAGGCTTAAGAACATGTTCCAGATTTCTCTTGCTGTTGTACAATGTAGGAACAAGTGTGTTGTGTCTTCCATATCCTCACAGCACATATAGCATCGCATATGTGAAACCTTTTCTAGTCAATTCATGTTGTGTCAAGTGTGCATCATGCAAGGCTATACATCCAAAACAAGAAACTTGGTGCTCGTATCTTATATTTCCAAACTGATAGCCACAAGGTGTCCTGCTGTCTATATCTTGTTGGCCTTGAACTGTTTATATCCTCTTTTGTCTATATCTTGTTGGCCTTGAACTGTTTACATCCCCTTCACTAATTATTTCCCTGTGCTGTTTCCTCTCCAAACGATTTTATGTATCTTTCTTCTCGCCTTCCCCTTCCACTTTTTCCAGCATTCCTATCAGTACGGTCAAAATTGTCTAGTTCCCAATCCTGACACTGTTCTGAAGTTCAGATTCCACTTCCTATTATTCCTGCATTGTGCAACAGTTTCACCTTCTTGTTAGGAAACTGGTCCCTCAGAGGTCCATGTCCCGACCATGCATCATCCCAAAATCTTAGTGTCTGACTGTCTTCCTATCCCCAAATTAAATACAGACAGTATACCCTGTCTGGAATTTTATGTATCCTTCTATCTTATCCATCAATTGTTGACGGCGTGTATTCATTATTTGAATGTGTATGCATGAATCATGCTGGATGTCACTTGCAGTTTGAATAATTTAAAGTTTCATTTTCTTCCCATAATTAGTAAATGCATGAAAGCCCTTTGATGTCATTCTTACAGGAGCAAAAACTTGGTGAACTAGTTATAGATCCTGGTGCTGCAAAAGATTTTGAGAGGCCATTCAAAACGCGTCTAAAGTCAGAGGAGCAGGCTGAGCAAGGCCCAAATAACCGGCAAATTGGCTCCAAATTTTCTGAATCAGAGAGTGCTCGCGATTCCTTCGTCAACAAGCGTAGTTCTGAAGAAATGGAGAAACCCTAGATGGTTTCAATACCGTTTTGTAAATTCTGGCAGAAATAGGGTAAGAGCTATGGTTTGAAGTGAAGACCTGATAGTTATGTTTTGAGTCCTGACAATTACTGGGTTCCAAGAGCTTCAAGAATCAGAAATGAGACTGTAAATAGAAGTTTTGTTCTCTGCAGCCAAGTGTACCAAGTGTCTACCAATTGTTTTATCTTCTATGGTAGACTTCTATGTTGTAACATTTGCCTATTCCCATCGACTCAGGTTTGAAACATTTTCTGAACTAATGGCATAATTTCCCTTTGAAATTGGTGCATATTAAAAGGTTTTCTACTCATCTATTTTCTTCCTTGGATGTGGAGTTGCATCTGACGACCTCTCTGTGATGGTAGTGTGTAATTCCCAGTTGAACTGTTAACCAAGTTGCTAATCAGAAAAACTGGTACTTTTGGCTCGCACTTGATATTTTGAAGAGATATAAATGGTCAGATTTGATACAAATATCACGAAATTCGTGATCTCTGAGAATCATATTCCTTAGCTTCCTTCTGGAGTGATTGCAAAAATAATCCCAAGCTTAAACTGAAAAAACTTAAAGTAATTTTACATGAAAAATAAACTTTCCGATCGGCTAGTTATAATTCCAAAGTACTTAGTACTTTTTTTCAACTTCAAATGCTCTTTTCTCGTTCCAATTTTAACCAAATAGCACCTCCTCATTTTCAATTAAATTTTCTATATTTTCTTATTTATAGAAATTACTATTATTTACTTTCCTAGAAAAAAATTTGGTACGATAGAAAAGTATTTTTTGAAAGATAAGTCATTTTTTTGTTGAATATTTCAAGGAACACATTTTGAAAGGTGGCCTCCCTCGCTGTTGGGTAGAAGTAAATTTACTTGACTATCTCGGCTAGCGGAAATACAAAAATAAAATTGAGAACTTAACTTCCAAAATTTGTGGTTTCTAGAACATTCAAAAGGGAGTTTCGTTTTCCAGAAAAAAAAAAAACCAAACTGTAAGTGTTCATTTGATAGGATGTATTAGAAAAAAATAATGTGTATTAGCTTAGGTATTATTAAGGAATTTTTACATTCCTATGGCATATAGTAAACTATATTACCCTCAATGTTTAAGGTTTGATATAATTACGTTTAGTATACCTAATTACCAATTATATACCATTATGTGTTTTAACCGTACATTAATGGTACCGTATATCCCTCCTAAATTAATGGTACCGTATATTTCTCCAAATCCCCCCNNNCCCCACGTTTCTCTCTCCCAAACCCACACCCTCACCCACGTATCACCCTACACCCACATTTCTTTCCCATTATTTCCTCTGCTAAAACCAGAGAAACATATGTATTCCCCACCATTAACGTCCAATTTCAAGTTTTTTCTTCTACAACCAATCAAAATTGAAGTCAATTCTTCAAAGTTCATACACACATTTACCTTCAGCTTCAAATTTTCTCAATGAAGAAGAACAAACCTTCAAAGCACAGCCTTAAAAAAGCTAGAGAAGCTGATATATCTTCTTTCGATTTGGGTGTATTATCACCACATTCACCCAAAAAGCATGCGAAATCTGCACATGCAATTGTAGATAAGAAGCATAGTCTTTCTCCGCGTCAAATCAGGGCTGAAGCTAGAACTAAACAAAAAGATGATTTCGATGCTGGAGAATCTTCGAGGCCAATCAAACAAGCGAAAAGGAAAGGAAAAGAGATAGCGTTCGATGATGATTTAGTAGAAGATGTGCCTATCAGTAAACCTGGAAAGAAAGCGAAGGTGTCTCCCAGTTCAAAAACTCCCAAAAAGAAGAAAAATTCAAAAAAAGCCCCTACTATAAAATCTCCTAAAAATGTTCGAAAACAGTCATTGGTGAAGGTAAGAATTTAGTAATTTCTTCACTAGTTATTTCGTTTGTTTTAGTTGTTAAAAATCTACATAATCTGTGTTTTTCTGCTTTGTAGATTATTTGTCTTCATTTTGAAGATTAATTGTGGCTATATTGATCTGTTTAAAATTGTAGATATTTTGTAGATTTTTTGTAGTTATTTTGTATATAAATTGCAAATGTATCTGTGTTTTTTAAGCATTGAATTAATGTGAGATTATTTGTCTTCATTTTGAAGATTAATTGTAGCTTTATTGATTTGTTTAAAATTGTTGATATTTTGTATATTTTTTGTAGCTATTTTGTAGATAAATTGCAAATGTATCTATGTTTTTTAAGCACTGTATTAATGGCAGATTATTTATATTTTGTGCAGAATGGATATTTTTTTGCATCCCATAATGTTGATTATGGGGTGCTTAGATTCCAGATATTATGTGACCCTAGCATTCCTAGCCAAACTAAAGAGCTTTTGTCTCCAAATGGCTTGAAGCTATTCGAGAAGACATGCTTTGGTTATTTACTGTCATTTCCAATTTTTATGCATGCAAAATCAAGCTATTTATCTTCTTATGAAGTATGAATTGAATTCATCTGATGCTTCCTATTTTTTAGCTGAGTTAAAAGGTGAGAGGTTAAATTTTGGATTGAGAGAGTTTGCATTAATAACTGGTCTTAGATGTCATACCGAGGTGACAGACTTTGGTTACACCACGAATTATGTCAGTAACATAATGAGCAGTTACTTTCCAAACAAGGTAAAAGTGGAGAAGACATACCTAAAACAGATTGTAACCAACAAAAGCTGGGTAAATGATGATGATGCAGTAAAGTTATGTATTCTATATCTCATAGAATTCTTCATTTGTCCTTCAGAGAAAGACCATATTGGGTTGGTAAATCATTTTAGGTTTTATTTGGTGGAATCCGGTCAGTACGAGACATACCCATGGGGTATTCAGTCTTAAAGACAGTTGATTGAATCAGTTAGGCACAGGCTAAATCATGTAGTTCATTCTTATCTCATTCGAGGATTCCCACTAGCCATGCAAGTATGGTTGTATGAGTGTTGCTCCTCCGTCAACACTGATATAGCTACAAGGATTTCTAACTCAATCCCTCGCATACTTAACTGGTCAGCTAGTAAGGGTCAGATTTGGTTAGCTGCAATTGAAGACAGAATGATCAAGCCTGAATGGATGAAGGTAAATGGTTTTATTATGATTATACAATTTACCTACAAAGTATCTACAATTTGTCTGCATATTCTGCCTTAATCAAGCTAATTTTTTTTTCTCATTCAGTTCACCAACATAAATGAATCACCTGAAGAGCTTTCAGTGATGTCCTGATAAAGTTGAGTACATAATTGAAGAGGTTGAACATATTTCTGAGGATCCCAAAGTTGATGCTCCTCCATTGGAACCCAAAGAATCAATTGGAAAAGAAGACAAGGAGTCTATTCTTCATAAAATAAGAAAGTTAAAAAGAGGTCTTGAGAAGGTAACATGTATTCCTAAACAACATTGTGATGTATACATAATACTGCATCTATTCTTTAATGCATGTTAAGACATATTCTGAAGTTAACCATGTATTTTTTTTTAATATATATGTTGATGAAAAGCTTGCAGATTTTAGGAAAGATGTCTTTGAAGAACTAGGTAGCCTTCGAGTGCTAATAAATGAGTCAGTCAAGACTGTTTTGCAGGTGGTAAACAGTCAAAATGATCAAGTTGATGCAAAGGTAATATTTGAATTTTATTCATATTAACAAAACTATTTATGTCACCTCTAAAATTTATATCCTAACTAATATAAAACTTTCAGTTTGCTAGGAGTTCAACCAAAAATACTGACCAACCAAAAGACAAGAACAATCAGCAATTTCAGTTCACTAGTGGAGAACTAGTGCAGGCCAGCACCAACAAAATAGGTATCTACAAAATAACTCCACTTTATCTACAATTATCTACATAATATCTACAAAATGTCTACAATTTGTCTATATTATATATACAAAATATATACAAATAAATACAGCATATTGGCACAGCTCTACAGATTTTTGTAGATCTTATAACACACCTACATATCTTCTTAAACTGTCAAGCCACTACTATCTAGTATGATTTAACATTTTTAATGAAAAAACCAGAACATGTTGAAGGTGCACTTGGTGAAGAAAATCATCCAGCACGTGTTGATTTATATACACATTTTGAAGGTGCAGTTGATGAAGAGAATGCAGGTATGAAATTGTATTCAGAGATATTTGCTTTATGTTTCAATATTTTTACCATTCTATTAAGCTAGATATACATGGTGTTACAGAGAGGGAAGATATGCATGCACAATCTCCAATTCACGGAGTGACAGTAGCAGCTCAAAGAGAACAACAGAATGAGGAAGATGACAATGTAGGTGAAGAGGCAGAGTATGTGAATGTAGGTGATTCAAAAGACTCCGGAGGTGAGAAGAAGGAGGTTACACTTGATGATTTCGAGCTGCCTGATAACTTCTCCCAGTTGGTTAAGTTCGGCGAGCCTATACAAGATGAAACAACTACCCGTGCATCAAGGTAGAACAAGGCAGCCGGGAAAGCATGCCCGATCACTATTTCTCCCTTTATACAGTTCTGGTGGCAGCACCTCGGTTGGACCTCAAAATTTTCACCTCAAGCACCCATTTACTAGTGTTATTGGTCAAGATGTAGATCCTGAGTTGTTGGATCAATTCAATAAGTGGTTATACCACGGTACCGACACAGGTTCAAAGAGGTTAGTTTGCACAATTTGACACTTTTATTTCAGTATTCATCTTTTACATATCCACTTCATTCAATAATTTTATTTTAATTTCTATTTGTTTATATAGGAGGAAGGCTCCGTATTCTATAAAGGACAACCAAATTAAGTCATGGTTAGATCTTGGAGTGGAAAAGGTTGACAAGAAGGAGTGGTTCTTTTCCCTGACACACCCCGGACAAGTCCTCAATGACTCGGTAAGATTCAATGTATTTGATTTGTAGATATTGTGTAGATAATTTGTAGATGATATGTATTCTGATTGTAGATGCTTTATTTTCTGTTTGTAATGTAATTGTAGTTATTTTGTAGTTTTGTGTAGATTATTTGAAGATAACTTGTAGTATAAATGCAATCTGTTTTTGTTGAAACACATTGATGTCTTAATGTATTACTTGAGGAAAAGAGGCAAGTATGGCCCCCACAACAAGACCAGGTTTACTACAACAGATTGTTTGTTCAAGACTATGATTGAACAAATTTATGAAAAGTTCCAAAATTCTCCTCAAGAAAAGAAGTTTTCTGTTGTCAAACCCCAGGACGTTGTAGCAGAATATATATTGGGGTATAGACTACTCGCAAATGTTGCATGGGATGAAGTTGATTATGTCATCATGCCCGTC